ATATATCGTTAAAAAGAAAGATCGGGATATTATAAAATGTCGAGTAGTGCCTTACCTGCAGTAGTCGTTTAAATGTTCTAGAAATTTTACTACTCTTCCAGAACGCGTCGTTTTAGGTATATTTTCAGATACATTCAGAGTATCGTCCCTAGTGTTGGTTGTCGGTTTAGGGATTATGAGTGTAGGAGTCGTGTTGTGCGATTGTACCGAAGGAAAGTCGACGTGAATAGGATTTCCTTCTAAATACGCTGCTTTTAAGCGATCGATGCTGATGCTATCGTTGGTTCCGTTCTTATCGACTATATAGTACTTAGATTCACGTTGAAGAACTTTGAAGGGTCCTTCGTATGCTGATTCGAATGGTCGTCGATGCGAGTCTCGACGAACGAAAACGTGTGTACTATATTGTAAGTCAGGTTGAACGAAATCATCAGTTGATTGAGGTCGAGTTGAAGCAGGTTTAACTGAACGCATTGCGTTTGTAAGCCTGTTCGTGTAGGAGGTTAGATCCATGTTCATTGAAGAGGACGAAGGATCCACAAATTCTCCTGGAAGTCGAAGTGTCGTTCCATAAACGAGTTGAGCCGCAGTGTATCCAATGTCAGCTTTCACTGCATTGCGAATACCTAGTAAGACAAGTGGAAGAGCGTCGGTCCACTGTGAAACGTTTGCAGCTGATAGTGAAGCTTTTAGTTGTCGGTGAAAACGTTCCACCAACTCGTTTGCTTGTGAATGGTAGGCGGTCGTTCGGAATCGAGTGATTCCTAAAAGTGTGGTCAGACGACGGAAAAGATCAGATTCAAACTGACGTCCGCGGTCTGTGGTGATGGTTGAAGGGCAACCGAAGTTTGCTATCCATCGTTCGACGAAGGCACGGGCCACTGTTTCAGCAGTGATGTCCTTGATAGGTACTGCTTCTGGCCATCGAGTGAAACGGTCTACGCAGGTTAAGAGGTAAGAGTATCCATTTGAATCTGGTTAAGGTCCTACCAAATCCAAATGAACATGGTCGAAACGAGCATCGGGAGTTTTAAACGAGCCTAAGGAACATTTATTGTTTCTGGTAACCTTAGATATTTGGCAGCTTACACAGGAGCGTGCCCACTCCCTCACGTCTTTATTCATTCCAGGCCAGCAAAACCGTTCTGCTATAAGCTTGATGGTTGCACGAACACCTGGATGCGAAAGTTTGTGCAATGTGTTGAAGACATTGCGTCGATAATGTTTCGGCACGATTGGGCGATCCCTACCTGTAGATGTGTCACAAAGTAAGGTTTCCTTACCTGTTCCAATCTGTTTGATGCGTAGTTTAAGTGTTGTGGACGATAACTCGAGCTGAAGATCACTGTCTTCTTTTTGAAGCTCGGCGAGTTTAAGGAGGTCGATTCCTTGGAAACTGTTCAAGGAAGTTATTCGAGATAAAGCGTCTGCAACTACATTGTTTGCTCCAGAAATATGTTGAATATCTGAAGTAAACTGCGAAATGTAGTCCAGTTGTCGAGACTCACGGGGAGAGTACTTGTCTGAAGGAGAGCTTAACGAGAAAGTGAGTGGTTTATGGTCCGTGAAAAGAGTGAATTCACGACCTTCGATGTAGTGTTGGAAATGCCGTACAGCACAATACATAGCTAGGAGTTCCCTACCGAATGTGCTGTACCTCGATTCGGTGTCTAGCAACCTTCTAGAGAAAAATGCCAAGGGTTGCCAGGAGTTGTTAACCCATTGTTGTAAGACTCCTCCGATTGCTGAGTCGGATGCGTCTACTGCGATGCTAATGGGTGCTCGGGTGTCCTGATGTGCGAGCATTGTTGCTTTAGCAATCAGTTCCTTAACTGTGGAGAATGCTTTTCGTGCGGTGTCGTCCAAATTAATAAATTTCGCATTTCCACGAAGTTGGTCGGTCAGAGGTTTCATAAGTAATGCGCATTTCGGTATGAATCGTCTATAGAAACTTACGAGGCCGTTGAACGTGCGTAATTGCTTAACGGTGGTCGGTTCTGGGTAATCCAGAATGGCCGCCACTTTGGTTCTAAGGGGTCAGATACCTTGAGCATCGATAGTGTGTCCCAGAAAGTCTAATGAGTCGGTTCCGAATTGGCATTTCTGGACGTTAACAGTAATGCCATGTTTTTGTAGTCGTTCGAAAACAAGATCCAGATGCTTGAGATGTGTTTCTCTGTCTGGACGTGCGATTAGACAGTCGCCAACATACGCGTGTACGAAGTTGAGACCTCGAAAAACGTCGTCTATGAATATTTGGAATGTTTGAGCAGCATTTCTTAGACCGAAAGGCATTCGCAAAAATTCATAGAGTCCGAAGGGGGTTATGATGGCTGTTTTCGGTATGTCGTCAGTAGCCATAGGGATTTGGTTATACGCTTTAACCAAGTCGATTTTCGAAAAGACAGTTGTACCTTTCAAGGTAGCTGTCAAATCGTGAATGTGAGGCAACGGGTAACGATCGGGAATGGTTTTCGCGTTCAATCGCCGATAGTCACCAGTTGGACGCCAATCGTTGCTGTCCTTTTTAGGGACCATGTGCAACGGAGATGCATATGGGCTACTTGACGGTCCTATGATCCCTAAGTCTATCACGTGATCGAATTCGTTTTTCGCTAACCTTAGTTTTTCAGGAGCTTTAGAGAATGCAGGTGGTCCTGTAGTCGTGATGTGATATGTAACGTCGCTGGTTACACACGGTAGTTTCGGTTGAGTTTGTTGTATCCCAGGGTACTTATCGAGTAGTGGTTGATAGAGTGGGTCTATCATATGCTTAATTGTGACGGGATAATCTGCAACCAGTAAAAGAAGTTACGCAAACGGACAAATTAGTGTTTCCGTCTACTAGCCTCCGTTTGCGAGTGTCGATGATCAGATTGTGGTGTTGTAGAAGGTCCATACCAATGACTGGTATAGAAACATCTGCAACAACGAAAATCCAGTGTATGGGTTTGCGTAAATCCACGTTAAGGTAAACGTACCTTTTGCCATACGTAGCGATCAGTTTTCCGTTTGCCGCCTGTAAGTTTAGGGTAGATTCGTGAAGTCGGTCGTTAGGATTTGCTGGGAGAACGCTAACTTCTGAGCCAGTGTCGACGAGGTAGCGAACTCTCGTTGTCACATCTGTGACGAATAACAGACGGCTTTGTTCGCCGGCTACGGCTGCCGTTAACGCGTACCGGCTTGGAAGTTTCCCGAATTGCTTTTCGAATCAGTCGGTTTCGTGTTGGGAAAATTGCAGGGTTTTCTGCAATTTCTGGAAAACTTTCCATACTGGTTATGATACCAGCACCAGTCGGGGTTATCTGTCTCTCGTGGTCTAGAGACAGATCGCTTACGAGAAATGCTTCTACGTGGTGTGCGCAATCTCTTACGGTCGGTACGAAGACTAAGATAACGCGTGAGTGTGTGACATAAGTCGTTTATATCATTCTGAGTCGTGTGAGGCTTTTCTTTGACTGAAAATACCTCTGTAGTGGAAGGTTTCGTAATTTCTAAAATGCGGTCGGCAGATGCAGCCAGTTCGTCTAAGGCGTTGTTCTGAAACGAGACCAGAACTGCTTGCACCTGTTGGGGAAGTTTTGACAAGAAGAGTTGTTTGAATAGACCTTCGTCGAAAGTTCTTAGGCCTATAACCTCTCTCATCCGTTGCAACATGTCTGTCGCAGAACCGTGTTGCAGGTCGATATTATTGAAGAGTTGATCTAACCTTTGTCGATCGGTTAGATCTCCTCGTTTAAGAATCGAACGTTTTAAGACTTCGTAAGGATCGGAAACATCACTAGTAAACATACTAGGTGCTACGTACCTGTTGAATTCGCGCGGTAGTGCCTTGATTACTGCGAGGAATTGTGCACGTGTGTCGATCACGCCGTGCTCGTGGAAGTCGGCTTCTGCGTAGCAGAACCAGGCTTCGATGTTGTCGGGCCAGAAAGGCATGAGTTGAAACGAAGGCGGGGACAAAGTCTTAAGCTTGAGTACTTTAGGTGTCTGTTCAGTCATGATGAAGTATGATAATGAACGAGGGGAAAATATATATATCCAAGAAAATATACGAAAAAAAATCACAATGTTTAAAAATAAAATAAAAAATAAGGCAATGATATATAAAAATCCCAAAAAGGAACAGACTCACAGTTGCAATTGGGTGTACCAGATCACGACGGTCTCACCAATGATGATGTCACAGGTATTCAGTGTTTGACAACGCTTCTACCAGTAACACCTTTTAATATATTTCGTTCCCACCCAGAGAAATCAAAAGATAGAGTCGAGGAGATCGGAAAAGTGTATTTGGCGATGACCAATATATCGGAATTCTCTGATCTAATCTGGCTAGCGATTGCGGTTGATGTTGAGCATGGCGTTACCACACGTGATCTGGTGCGGATGCATGACCGAGCGCCTTCAGCTAGATGAGTCCACTAAAACATATGGTCAGCATCCAATGTCGAAAACTTACAGAGCTATTTATTTTAGGGATTTATTTACCGCTACACGTTTTCGTAATACGACGCACGGAAATATTCGGTACAAATGTTTCGACGGTTAGATACAACGATGTGTAAGGGTGGGGTAATAAAACAGTCTCTGCTTAGTTTTTAAAAGCAGGAGCAAGGAGCACTTTAGTTCTGTAGGTAGTCTGTGGGGTTATTAATATTTACTCGTTGTTAAAAATTTTGTCAGTATCTATATTTCTGTGTCCCCGATTTCCGAAAACATTGTAAAAAGGATTATACCGTTTCACACTAAAGGTCTAATTACAACCGTCTAGACATGAATCTAAAAAAACTAACAGTTCCCTATATCTGGCAAGCCATATTTAAACCAAAGTTTTCACATTTATTATTGATTGATATCTTAATTATTTCACGTAATTGATGGACTGCAATACGAATTTCGGCTGGTTGCACGCAAGAATCCTCTCCTATAAACCAATGCAACTTCTCTGTTGCTACCTGTGTTCGTTTGAAAGAATAAAAAGATAGGTCAAATGAAATGCGGGATTCTAGTTTTGGTGTGTATTTGAATTGCAGTCTTCAGTCTTCAGTAATGAGGATAGTAGGTTGATGAACCTGTGTTAATCCTGACACATTGCTTTCCAGTGAAGGTCCAGCTTTTCCTTGAAAGTATTCACTGATGGGGCTGATACCACTTGTTCGGGTAAGGCGTTCCAATCATTGACTACTCGATGAGAAAAACGGGACACCACTTTCAGTTTATTAGATCGTGGTTTATGAACCTTCTTGCTATGACCTCGGAGATTATTAGTGCTGGAGGGAGCAAAAAGATAAGACATATTAACACCCAAATCATAATTAAAGATACGAAATGCCAGTATAAGGTCACCTGGTGTCCTACGATTCGACAAGGGAAAAAGATTTAGGCGTTTTAAACGCTCATCGTAAGGGAGTCTAGAAAGATCCTTCACTAATTTCGTTCCCACACGCTGGACACGCTCAAGGGAGTTAGTATCCTTTACCAGACACGGGCTAGCTGCTTGGATACAGTACTCTAAACGTGGTCTAACATATATGGGATATAAAATTCGAAACGTTTCCTCGTCAAAAGATTTGAACGCTCGGCGAAGTGACCATAACGCACGAAAACCTTTGACAGCGGCTGCCTTGCAATGCGTAGTTGTTTTTAAATCATGACTTAATACTACTCCTAAGTCTTTATGCTCTTGAACGCATGGAAGAGGTTTACCCTCAATAGTGTAACGGTAATTATTACCGTGACCGATGTGCATTAGTACACTCTTCCTAGCATTGATTTCTTAGCCCCACAGTCGAGCCCATCTAAATAAATCGTCTAAGTCAGCTTGAAGATCCACATGATCAGCCGCACTTTTTATTGTTCTCCAGATTTTTACATCATCCGCAAACAATAATGTCGACGACCTAAGTAACAGCGGTAACTCATTGACGTAGAGAAGGAAGAGCAATTCAACTTGTAAAAGGTTTACAACACAACGGTGTCGATACCATGATCCTATTTCACTATGTTAAACAATTTATTTTAACATGCTGTGTAGTTCAGTAGTGTAGTGATTGAACGTTGAAAGCAAATTTGACGACCACACTTGTACTTAATAATGTTACAACTTAAAAAGCCGTAAGGGCTTAACAAATGGGTTTGGTTTACTTTATCACCCGTAAGTCCTGCTAATTACTACTAGGAACTAGTTACTCTTCTGAAATTGAGATTACCATTAACCTTTACAATAAACCATCAAGGTTCTCAATTTTTTTACCTGCAATCCTCGGATCTGAGCTTATCTTTTATGGTACTAATTGTAGACTCGAAAACTTTAGAGAATACGTTTTCTCTAAGTAGCACTTTTCTATATTAGTTGAGAAGTACAGCTTATTTGTTAAATATACCTAGCCTAGTGTGAAAGCTTACTTATTTTAATTTCCATGATAACACAAGTGTTATTTCTCAATGCATTTATTTCTTTAATATAGGCTAAGACTATTGACTTCTCATTTATTTAGGTCTTTTAATTATACCTTAGCAATGATCGCACATTGGATGCCATGTAAAATCGAAGCAAACGGGATGAAAGCGAATTCCGAACTTCAATGTCTAGAAACTTTAAAGTAATTTGTATGACATGTGTCGTTTTCTATTTCAGCAATGAATCTGGTGCATTAAGTAATCATGTACTAGTTTCAAATTTCCGCGGTAGACCATTACGAGGAGTTCAACTCAGTTTCCCTGACAGTTACTCACCAGTGGTTGTTCACCACAGTGGTATCGTGTCAGACGTTGGAACAGAACCAATAAAATTTGGGGCTAAGCTCGATAAAATATTCCTATGGAATTTGTCTACGCCACCAAGTTTCTCAGATTCTATACCATTATCTCTCACTTGGCTTCATTTGGCTAGCATTTTGCATTCAAGCTCCTAATATTCGCTAGTACATATTGTTCACACATTTTGTATATCTTGTTATGATGACGGTTAATGTTTTACATATCTGTACAACTAAACGAATGATGATCATACAAGTATTTTCATAACTGATTTCTTGACTTCTTCATGAAGCCAACCATTTTTTTGAGTAGCCTTTTATTTAATTCATGACTAAGCATCATGTCGTGATATTATATAAATGTTAGAAAAAAGTCAGTATCCACAAATATAAATTCAAAGGACATTAAGTGTTGAATATGCTAACATAGAACAATATCTAATTTTTTCTTGCGTCATGTATATGTGATGCGTTGTTGAGGTATTATTGTATTCCCACTATTAAACTATTTTAACATGTTTTGAAATTTGCTCGGATGTAGTTTAAATATCTGTCGATCACTCTTCCATTTAAACGTAGGCCTTATAGCCAACATCTGTTTACATTTCTATAACTTTTAAGGTTATAAGTTCTTTGGATTAAAAGCGAAAAACGATTAACTGTCATTGTCATGTAGGGATAACTCGAAGTATATTATTGATCAGATTGAACTGATTGTTTTGAGACTACTAGCTGTATCAAGCCAATTTACTATATCGACAGGTAATGGCGGCGTGAGTTAAGTATCAATCTAATATAAATTATGAGTACAAATGTCCATAGCTACCCGCTGCATAATCACCTTAACTAAATCCGTAAAATTAAGATTGATAACAATGACAATTTCCTTAAGAATGATTAAGGCAACTGTATTATATGTCGAAAGATGTATTTGTCAGACTGCATTTAGAATATACTGTTTAATAATGTATTTAGAGAAAAAAGGCTGTCCGGAATGGTACGGATTGATAAGTATTGTGAGAAGTTTGGTGGGAGTATTTTATTTTCTTGGTTTCTTAAGAATGAATGCCTGCGCTCCTACTGACTACAGCCTGGATGAAGTGAAAGATGACTTTTACAGGAAGCTTTCTGAATTTCCTCAAAAAGCTAAACGCTCAGACACAGTACTCGTGGCAGGTGACTTTAATGCTCAACTATGTAGCTTAAACCAAACAGAAAGACATTTGGGTGCGTATTTTAGCATTCCGGCTCAGCGAACACGTAATGGTGACCGTCTTTTATAACTGTGCTTAAACAATAGTTTACTTCTAACGAGCACTAATTTTAAGCATAAGGAGAGACATCGTCTAACATGGCGACCGCCTGCACCAAACCAATGATAAACCCAAATCGATCATAGTGGCACCAGTCACTGTCTGAGAGACTCGATAGCAGGCTGTCGCTCGTTCTGGAGTACATATTTAAACCCTGATTATGCTCTAATACGAGCACACATTTGCTTGCGCCTCACTGGACGCAGAAAAACCACATTAAGAAGACGCATTAGAGTTGAACTCACTGACGAGGAAACCAAAAATCTCAGGACCAACTGAGGTCACACTTAGGTAGTTCTGAAAACGAGGCTGACCCAGATTTTGCTCGCGAAGATGTACATACAGCAGCGACATCTATTAGTGATTTGAAACAGTGTCACGAAATACGATGGGTTTCTACTAAGTTTATTGCACTGATTGATTCTCGTGAACCCATCAGGCTCTGAACGCGATAAAGAGCGGAAACAAATCAAATCTAGGTTAACCAAAAGTTGAAAGAACGATAGTGAGCAACGAAAGCAAAAGAGATGGAAAAATCAGCGGCTGTAGGTAACACAAGACAACTCTACAGACTAATAAAAGAGACTGGGATTATGAAGTCAACTGTAAGTGAGACGATCCTGCAATAAGTCGATACTGCTTTCAGTTCACACAGAACCATGGCCGGAAACCTTTAAGGAGCATTTCAGCTGGCCTTCAGCTACTTTACAACTACCCACCATTCCCAGACAGCTTCAATGGACTATTGAAGCGCCCTCCCCTTGAATCTAGTTGAAGTTTAAAAGGCAACAGTTAATTTGACACGAGGATGAGCAGATGGATTAGCTCCAGAAGTATTTAGGTATGGTGGTCTAGTTTTAGCGATTAGGTTTACTAATAATTTAGCTAAAATCTGGAAGTTGTACGTAATCTCATCTGACTAGTCACAGTCACTGATTGTCCCAATATGTAAGAAGGGGTCACAATCATCTTGTGATAACCATAGAGGAGTTAGTTTAACTAATATGGCATCTTAAATACTAGCCTCAAATGTCGGACGCCTAACAAAGACTCGTGAACTGCAAACACAAGGAAATCCGGCTGACTCCAGACCTGGTTGTGACTGCATCGACCACATATTCACTACTCGTCAGATCTAAGAACACAGGCGTGCTTGTCGGCGTCCACAATGATAGTTTATCTTTAAAACAGCATTTGACTCAGTAGATCGAGAGGTTGTGTGGCGGTGTCTGTCATTAAAAGGTGTACCTCAGAAGTGCATAAACCTTGTGAATGATCTTTACTCGAACACTACCAGTTGGACCAGAGCTTATGGAAAGTTGTTATCTGATGTGTGTCCGAAAGGGCTATCCACTATCCAATTTTGTTCAACTTCATCATAAACAACGTCCTCGTCAACTGGATTTTCGGGCGTCGATCTCCTACCAGGAGGTCCACTTATCGACTTAGAATAAGCAGATGACAGTGCTGTTTACTGAAGACGCTGATAAAATGCAGAGTGTCTTGGTAGCATTGTGAAACAATGCCAGGATGTTTGAGATGCGTTTCTTATCCTCTAAATGCAACCTGTTGCTTCAGGACTGGCTTCTGTCAACACTTGAACTAAGGATAGGCAGTGAAGTGGTCGAACACACAGACAACTTCACTTACCTTGGAAATCTGATCAGCCCGAATGTGTTGGTGTCTGACGAAGTGTGTGCACGGATTCAGAAAGCTCGTCTGACTTTTGCCGAATCACGTCACCTATGGCGAAGGCGAGATCCGTCTAACAATTAAGGGGCGAGTTTGCTGCGCGGAAGTTCATTTTGTTCTACTTTACGTCTGCGGAACATGGCCATCAAGGGTAGGAGATGCTCGTAAGTTACTAGTATTTGGTCACAGATGTCTCAGAAATATTGCCAGTATCTGCTGGGATCACAGGGTAAGCAACAGTGAGGTTAGAAGCAAGGTAATAGGGGATAATGGCAAATCAGTTGATGAGGTTGTGAGTTCTCATCGACTGAGATGGTTGAACCACGTGTTACGTATGCCCGAACACCGATTAGCACGGCGCACAATGCTGACGTGTTGCGGATGATTGGAAGAAAGTTAGGGGGAGCCAAACCAAAACATGGCGTCAGTTCTTGAAGTCACTAACGTCTGTTTTGAGCCGTGTCGGTAGATGCAGACTACTTGGTTGGGGTCCGCACGACTGTCGTAACCAATGCAAACAATGTAATGTATTTGTAATATCCCAGTGAGTAGAAATGGATTTGGTTATTTATTTCTGAGGAAGTGGCTTACACTCAGTTACGAAACGTCAGAAAATTTAATTTTCCTACTCACTGAAATATTACAAATATATTAATTTATTTATAACAATCTACCCAATGCTCAATTTACTCGAAATTATCAAATCAAAGCCTTGTAATGATATCGTAACCAATGGTTAAAGTCTCCGTGTGACATGGTTTAGAATCGGTCACAATGGCGCAGGTGTATATATTCTTTGTTTTCCCTTAAACCGTGAGATTAAAATTGCTCCATACCTCCTCTCTTCATACGAACTAATTCTTTCTTCCTGTGTTATATTCTCATACACAATCTTTCTTTTGTATATTACTACCATTGAAGTAATTACTTCTATGAATTTGGTGCTGATCTTGTGGTGTCAATAAGGTGTGGCAACTTGAACAGATGCATATATGCACCTGGCTTTCGTTGTAGCTGACTGACTGACTGAGATGCAAAGGTTTAAGTCGAGTGTGAGTGATTTGGTCATCCCTGTATTCCAAGATAAGAAGACTAACTACGGTGATATATATATATATATATATATATATATATATATATATATATACTGTCACAATAAATTAAACCTTACAGCAGTAAAGATTTTCGTTTGGTACAAATAAATTATATGTACGATTGTTTATTATATAAAGTATTTTGGTTTTGTTATTAATTTGACCAGATTGTAATTTGTTGAGCTTTTTTCATATTATTCAGTTCTGTTAATTCTTCATTAAAAGCTAATATTGTTAATGTGGTTGTATCCTTAAATAAATTAGTTTGACCTTTCATACATTCCGGTAATTTAAAATGGTCAGATTCATTATTTTTACTGTAAACTAGAAATATACTTAAACATTTTATTGCATAAGTAGTTCGTTTCGCATTGGATGATGGTTCAATTAACAACGTTTGTTTACCAATCCAAAAGTTGAAATTCGACCAATTTCTCAACGATAAATAATGTTTCTTACCACTAGTTAATATTTGGTCACCAAATTGTACAAAATTATATTTAGTTAATGTTTTAATTGACCACGGCCACGAATATTTTAAGCGTGTTAGTGAAAACCAAGAATTTACTTGTGCACCATGTGTATCAAATATTAAACAACATTTCACATGACCAGCTTGATCAAGTAATTCAATCTTAATACTTTGGAAACCAAAAAATAAATTCGATGTTAAAAAATGGTTGGTATTTTGTGTATGATAATGTGTTTTGGGTTTATACCAGCTGTTTAATAACTCGTTACGATACCAACAATGGCATAGGATGTTGCGTTTTAGTGGAAATGCACTAGGTGGACTGGCTATTTCTTGATACCATAGTTTTTTAAATGATAAATTGATGCCTGTATCAAGGACAAATAATAATTTGTTAGGCTGTGGTAATAAAATGCCATCATTTTTACTAGGCATTAGCCCATATGGTATGACATAAATACGTAGTTCATCAGCTTCATATAATGTAAATAAATAATTTGAAAATTTTGGTGGTAACTGATAATTTAAACTATCTTGTTTATGTGAATTTATTGGCAATGTGTAGAAAATTTGTGGATAATCATGATAATTACTGGTGTTTGAGAAATTATTATATTTCGAATTGATTGCATTATTCCATTCACATCGGGAAATTGCTGAGTTAGGATTGTCAACAATTAATATATAACCTCGTAGGAATTCACAATCTACTCGTTCTCTCTTCAACTTTTCAATTGTACTATAATCAATCGATGATAAGAGGACAATATAATTTGGATCAAAAACTACGGAGAATGCTTCATTGCTAAGAAAACATTTGTGTAGGAATACAAGAAAAAGCGATGTTAAATTTTATTCTGTTACCTATATTCTGAAAAAGGCGATAAATTTACTTTATGCCGATATGTTTTAGATCTAGTTTCAGA